CTAGTGACATCATCGCACCTAGTGACATCATCGCACCTAGTGACATCTTCGCACTTTGTGACATCTTCGCACCTTGTGGCATCATCGCACCTTGTGACATCATCGCACCTTGTGACATCTTCACACTGTGTGACATCTTCGCACCTAGTGACATCATCGCACCTTGTGACATCATCGCACCTTGTGACATCTTCGCACCTTGTGACATCTTCGCACCTTGTGACATCTTTGCACCTTGTGACATCATCGCACCTATTGACATCATCGCACCTAGTGACATCATCGCACCTTGGGACATCATCGCACCTTGGGACATCATCGCACCTATTGACATCATCGCACCTAGTGACATCATCGCACCTAGTGACATCATCGCACCTATTGACATCATCGCACCTAGTGACATCATCACACCTAGTGACATCATCGCACCTAGTGACATCTTCACACTTTGTGACATCTTCACACTTTGTGACATCATCGCACCTAGTGACATCATCGCACCTTGGGACATCATCGCACCTATTGACATCATCGCACCTAGTGACATCATCACACCTAGTGACATCATCGCACCTAGTGACATCTTCACACTTTGTGACATCTTCGCACCTAGTGACATCATTGCACCTTGTGACATCATCGCACCTTGTGACATCTTTGCACCTTGTGACATCTTCGCACCTTGTGACATCTTTGCACCTAGTGACATCATCGCACCTAGTGACATCATCGCACCTTGTGACATCATCGCACCTAGTGACATCTTTGCACCTAGTGACATCATCGCACCTAGTGACATCATCGCACCTTGTGACATCATCGCACCTAGTGACATCTTCGCACCTCGTGACTTCTTCGCACCTATTGACATCATAGCACCTCGTGACATCATAGCACCTCGTGACATCACAGCGAGAGAAACGCCCCCCTGAAGGGTTCCAGCTGCAAATAAAATGACATTGTCACAATATTCTGCTCCTGTTATCCCGGCCATTGTCAGGAGGGCGGAAGAGTGCGAGACCTCGGCGCCATCTCCCACCGCGCAGCTCTATAGGCCCATTTACACCTCGGCGCGGCGGCGGCGGCGTTCTCTGTGTGGTCCGCGGCAGACGTCGTTATCAGTTTTCTGTTTATTACTGCGCCCCGTTTAGAGGGAATTGTCCAAGTGATCCCCGGACTCCAATCTGTAGGCCTGTTGTCAGGACAAATTAATTTCTGCGGAAACCCGCTGCGCCGCCGATACCATCGCGGAAATGGAGGATTAATGGAGGTTTTCTGAGCCGCGCGCTTTATAGCCGCGGACGCTGGGGGGGAGGGGGGATACGGCGAGGAAGGAATTAAAGCGATCGCCTTCCGAGATGAGGGGGAATCTTCGCAGCAATAATTCCCTCACGCTGACTTCATCACAATAAAGCTTCAGCCCCTCCATGTCAGGAAAACGCGCGGCGCTGCTGTCATCGGTCTTTGTTAACGGCGAGCGAAATACGGGAAGAACAATCTGTGTGTTTATGGAAGGAAATTATTTATCGCTCATAAGAAATCCTACAGCTGGGAGGAAATACATATGTATGCCGTACGCTGTATGTGCGCTGCAGGATCTGTTCAGCCAGTCTTGTGATCCTCTGCATTCACTATATCCGCTCTCCCCGGACCCCGCATTCACTATATCCGCTCTCCCCGGACCCCGCATTCACTGTATCCGCTCTCCCCGGACCCCGCATTCACTATATCCGCTCTCCCCGGACCCCGCATTCAGTATATCCGCTCTCCCCGGACCCCGCATTCACTGTATCCGCTCTCCCCGGACCCCGCATTCACTGTATCCGCTCTCCCCGGACCCCGCATTCACTATATCCGCTCTCCCCGGACCCCGCATTCATTATATCCGCTCTCCCCAGACCCCGCATTCACTATATCCGCTGTCCCCGGACCCCGCATTCACTATAGTCGCTCTCCCCGGACCCTGCACTCACTATATCCGCTCTCCCCGGACCCCGCATTCACTATATCCGCTCTCCTCGGACCCCGCATTCACTATATCCGCTCTCCCCGGACCCCGCATTCACTGTATCCGCTCTCCCCGGACCCCGCATTCACTATATCCGCTCTCCCCGGACCCCGCATTCACTATATCCGCTCTCCCCGGACCCCGCATTCACTATATCCGCTCTCCCCGGACCCCGCATTCACTATATCCCCTCTCCCCGGACCCCGCATTCACTATATCCGCTCTCCCCGGACCCCGCATTCACTATATCCGCTCTCCCGGACCCCGCATTCACTATATCCGCTCTCCCCGGACCCCGCATTCACTATATCCGCTCTCCCCGGACCCCGCATTCACTATATCCGCTCTCCCCGGACCCCGCATTCACTATATCCGCTCTCCCCGGACCCCGCATTCACTATATCTCCTCTCCCCGGACCCCGCATTCACTGTATCCGCTCTCCCCGGACCCCGCATTCACTATATCCGCTCTCCCCGGACCCCGCATTCACTGTATCCGCTCTCCCCGGACCCCGCATTCACTATATCCGCTCTCCCCGGACCCCGCATTCACTATATCCGCTCTCCCCGGACCCCGCATTCACTATATCTCCTCTCCCCGGACCCCGCATTCACTATATCCGCTCTCCCCGGACCCCGCATTCACTATATCTCCTCTCCCCGGACCCCGCATTCACTATATCCGCTCTCCCCGGACCCCGCATTCACTGTATCCGCTCTCCCCGGACCCCGCATTCACTGTATCCGCTCTCTCCGGACCCCGCATTCACTATATCTCCTCTCCCCGGACCCCGCATTCACTATATCCGCTCTCCCCGGACCCCGCATTCACTGTATCCGCTCTCCTCGGACCCCGCATTCACTATATCCGCTCTGCCCGGACCCCGCATTCACTATATCCGCTCTCCCCGGACCCCGCATTCACTATATCCGCTCTCCCCGGACCCCGCATTCACTATATCCGCTCTCCTGGATAGAATTTCTCAAAAGCTGCAGGAATGCAGCCAGAGAGAGGGAGAAATGATTGCTTTCACAGCCTTCAGTGTAAAAAAAAAAACAAAAACCCTGATCACCCCCCACAAGTTGTATGATGTCACTTTGGTGACACTGTAATGCTAGGATGACGATAAGAATAAATAATGTATAAAAAAAAAGGAAAAAAAAAACATTTTTTTTAATTATGTTCTTTTTTCTATATTTTGATTCATTTATTTTTTCACCAAAAAAAGGTAGCAGAATACATTGTGGCCGAGATTTTATGAAGGAAGATTATTTCCAAAAGAAAAATGCAATTTTTTTTCTTTCAAAATGTTCAGTTTTTTATTTAATCTCTATAGCAAAATAAAAGCCCAACGATGATTAAATGCCACCAAAAGAATTATACGGGTACAGTGTTGCATGACTGCGCAATTGTCGTTCAAAGTGTGAGAGTGCTGAAAGCTGAAACTTGACCTGGGCTGGAAGGGGGGCGGGGAAGTGTCCGGACTTGAAGTGGTTAATTCAGGGGCATCCCTAGGGTTGGTGTCACCCAGTGTGATAACACTTGGTGACACCCCCTCCAACGATCCCCGCAGGATGGATGGGATCTGCAGATTGAGCAAAATGGATTGGAGTCCGATCCATCATGCTCTCCAATCCGCAGATCCGATCCGATCCATATAGGTTGCATACCGACGATCCCTGCAGGATGGATCGGATCTGCGGATTGAGCATAATGGATCGGACTCTGATCCATTATGCTCCCCAATTCGCAGATCCCATCCATCCTGCAGGGATCGTCGGCTTTCTTTACAACTTACCTTTTCGAGAAGCGGGTCCGGTGTCACCCCAGACAGGTTGCATGCCAACGATCCCCGCAGGATGGATGGGATCTGCGGATTGAGCAAAATGGATTGGAGTCCGATCCATCATGCTCTCCAATCCGCAGATCCGATCCGATCCATATAGGTTGCATGCCGATGATCCCCGCAGGATGGATCGGATCTGCGGATTGGGGAGCATAACGGATTGGAGTCCGATCCATTACGCTCAATCCTCAGATCCGATCCATCCTGCGGGGATCGTTGGCTTTCTTTACAACTTACCTTCTTGTGCAGCGGGTCCGGTGTCACCCCGTGCGGTCGGTGTCACCCCCTGCGGGCCACACCCCCCACCCCTGCCTCGGGACACCACTGGGTTAATTGGCCATTGGGCTGACTCTCTATTAGAGTTGTCACCGGCAGGATCTCCAGGAAGACATTTTGGAACAAATTCACAAAAAGAAAATATTTTTTCAAGAACACTTTATCTAGGAGACATGACACCAAAGATACTGAGGACTTTGGGGCTGACAGCGACTTGTTTTGTTGGTTCTCTGGTTGCGGGGACCTCGCGGTCCTCGGATGGCGGCGTGTGCGCTCTTTCCATGTATGGCCGATGCAGAGTGGATCACTTTGGCATTTCTGAGGTATAATTCGGCCCATTTGAAGGCGATCGTTCAGCCAACCACATGTAAGGGCAATAAACAGGACTCTTGGCGTCCGTCATCCACACATCGGCCCGGCGGGTAACGAAACAACAAAGCTGCAGAAAGACGAACGTAAACAGCGTCGCGGGTTCCCGAAATGTGAGTGTTAAGAGACGAGTGGCGGGGGCCGCGCCATTTACTAACACGCCAGATAACGCGATCCAGACGTCCGGCTGTCACTCCAGACTGACAAGTACAATGACAGTAGATGTCCATCTCTCCGCTCTCAATTCCCAAACACCAATTCCTCCGGGGCCCCGGGGGTCAGCGGGCAAACACGCCAAATACAAACTGCTGCCAATCCGACACGACCCCGAGGCAGCCGAGAAACAGAAAATACCACGAAACACCCCAAAGTTCACCGATTGTATACAATTATATTCCCTATTCACACGATACATTGTTTCATTACATGGAAATACATTGTATTACCAAAAGTATTGGGACACTCCTCCATATCATGTGATTCAGGTGTTCCAATCCCCTCCATATCATGTGATTCAGGTGTTCCAATCCCCACCATATCATGTGATTCAGGTGTTCCAATCCCCACCATATCATGTGATTCAGGTGTTCCAATCCCCTCCCAATCATGTGATTCAGGTGTTCCAATCCCCTCCATATCATGTGATTCAGGTGTTCCAATCCCCTCCATATCATGTGATTCAGGTGTTCCAATCCTCTCCATATCATGTGATTCAGGTGTTCCAATCCCCTCCCAATCATGTGATTCAGGTGTTCAAATCACCTCCCAATCATGTGATTCAGGTGTTCCAATCCCCTCCATATCATGTGATTCAGGTGTTCCAATCCCCTCCATATCATATGATACAGGTGTTCCAATCCCCTCCCAATCATGTGATGCAGGTGTTCCAATGCCCTCCATATCATGTGATTCAGGTGTTCCAATCCCCTCCATATCATGTGATTCAGGTGTTCCAATCCCCTCCAAATCATGTGATGCAGGTGTTCCAATCCCCTCCATATCATGTTATTCAGGTGTTCCAATCCCCTCCCAATCATGTGATTCAGGTGTTCCAATCCCCTCCAAATCATGTGATTCATGTGTTCCAATCCCCTCCATATCATGTGATTCAAGTGTTCCAATCCCCTCCCAATCATGTGATTCAGGTGTTCCAATCCCCTCCAAATCATGTGATTCAGGTGTTTCAATCCCCTCCATATCATGTGATTCAAGTGTTCCAATCCCCTCCATATCATGTGATTCAGGTGTTCCAATCCCCTCCATATCATGTGATTCAGGTGTTCCAATCCCCTTCCAATCATGTGATGCAGGTGTTCCAATCCCCTCCATATCATGTGATTCAGGTGTTCCAATCCCCTCCCAATCATGTGATTCAGGTGTTCCAATCCCCTCCATATCATGTGATTCAGGTGTTCCAATCCCTTCCTTATCATGTGATTCAGGTGTTCCAATCCCTTCCTTATCATGTGATTCAGGTGTTCCAATCCCCTCTCAATCATGTGATTCAGTTGTTCCAATCCCCTCCCAATCATGTGATTCAGGTGTTCCAATCCCCTCCATATCATGTGATTCATGTGTTCCAATCCCCTCCCAATCATGTGATTCAGGTGTTCCAATCCCCTCCATATCATGTGATTCAGGTGTTCCAATCCCCTCCATATCATATGATTCAGGTGTTCCAATCCCCTCCCAAGCATGTGATTCAGGTGTTCCAATCCCCTCCATATCATGTGATTCAGGTGTGCCAATCCCCTCCCCATCATGTGATTCAGGTGTTCCAATCCCCTCCATATCATGTGATTCAGGTGCCCTGCCCTCCCAATCATGTGATTCAGGTGTTCCAATCCCCTCCATATCATGTGATTCAGGTGTTCCAATCCCCTCCATATCATGTGATTCAGGTGCCCTGCCCTCCCAATCATGTGATTCAGGTGTTCCAATCCCCTCCATATCATGTGATTCAGGTGTTCCAATCCCCTCCATGGACACAGGTGTATACAATCCATCCCCTAGGCATGCAGACGGCTTCTACAAACATTGGTGAAAGAATGGGTCGCTCTCAGGAGCTCAGTGACTCCAAGCGTGGTCACGTGATAGGCGGTCACCTGTGCAATAAGTCCATCCGTGACATTTCCTGGCTACTAAATATTCCACGCTCAACTGTTAGTGGGATTATAACAAAGTGGAAGCAACTGGGAACAACAGCCACTCAGCCACCAAGTGGTAGGCCACGTCACATGACAGGGCGGGGTCAGCAAATGCTGAAGCGCACAGTGCGCAGAAGTCGCCAACTGTCTGCAGAGTCAATAGCTAAAGATCTCCAAACTTGGTGTGGCCTTCAGATGAGCCCAACAACAGTGCGTAGAGAGCTTCATGGAATGGGTTTCCATGGCCGAGCAGCAGCTGCATCCAAGCCTTCCATCACCAAGTGCACTGCAAAGCGTCGGATGCCGTGGTGTAAAGCCGCCACTGGACTCTAGAGCATGGAGGCGTGTTCTCTGGAGGGACCAATCACGCTTCTCTGTCTGGCAATCCAATGGACGTGTCTGGGTTTGGCGGTTGCCAGGAGAACGGTACTTGCCTGACTGCATTGTGCCAAGTGTAATGTTTGGTGGAGGGGGGATTATGGTGTGGGGGTGTTTCTCAGGGGTTGGGCTTGGCCCCCTAGTTCCAGTGAAGGGAACTCTTAAGGCAACATTTTGGACAATTTCATGTTCCTAACTTTGTGGGAGGAGTTTGGGGATGGCCCCTTCCTGTTCCAACATGACTGCCCCCCAAAGCACAAAGCAAGGTCCATAAAGACAGTCAGTGACACCAAGTCAGTCCCCCCCCCCCCCCCCAATGTCAGAATGCCCGCCGCAGTCCCGCTATAAGTCGCTGATCGCTGCCATTACTAGTAAAAATATATATATTTTTAAATCCCAGTATCTATACCGTCATTTTTAGATGCTATAAGTTTCACGTAAAACATTGAATTTACACATTTTGGGATTTTTTTTTTTTAGCGAAAAATTTTACTGGGCATAGAGCAAAAAGTAAAAAATGTTTTTTTTTGTCGGTTTTTTTTTTATAGCTAAAAAAAACTGCACAGGCGATCCAATAAAGCTCTATTTGTGGGGAAAAAAGGGCGTACATTTCATTACATTAACCTCTTGCCGACCGCGCATAGCCGAATGACGGCTTCACCGCGGCCGGCCAGTTCTGAGTGGACGTCATATGACGTCCTCCCAGAACGCGCTCTCCTGCGCGCCCCAGGGGGCGCGCACCCGGCGATCTCCGTGATCGCTGTGTCCTACGGACACAGCTGATCACGTGATGTGGTAAAAGGCCAATCACAGCGGCCTTTTACCACGTGATCAGCGGTGTCCAATGACACGCTGATCACAGGGAAATGCAAGTGCCGGTTCTCGGCTGCACTTTCCTCACGCTGTCAGATCGTGAGGAAAGTACTGCCGAGAACCGGCAGTTGTCAGAGCGGGGATCGGCACCGATCATCAGGGCACTGATGATCAGTGCCCTGATGATCGGTGCCCAGCAGTGACACCCGCAAGTTCCGCCCAGCAGTGCGCCCACTTGCCCCGCCCACCCGTTCCCAGCAGTGCCCCCACCTGTGCCCAGCAGTGCCCCCACCTGTGCCCAGCAGTGCCCCCACCTGTGCCACTCTGCAGTGCCACCTACCTGTGCCCAGAAGTGCCACCTACATGTGCCCAGCAGTGCCACCCACCTGTGCCCACCCACCTGTGCCCACCAGTGCCACCCACCTGTGCCCACCAGTGCCACCCACCTGTGCCCACCAGTGCCACCCACCTGTGCCCACCCACCAGTGCTGCCCACCAGTGCCACCCACCAATGCAGCCCAGCAGTGCTGCCAGTCAGTGCCACCAGTCAGTGCCCAGCAGTGATGCCAGTCAGTGCCGTCTATCAGTACCCATCATCAGTGTCACCTATCAGTGCCGCCTATCAGTGCTGCATATCAGTGCCGCCTATCCGTGACCCCTAATTAGTGCTGTCTATCAGTGCCGCCTATCCGTGCCACCTCATTAGTACTGCCTATCAGTGCCCTTTAGTGCTGCCTATCAGTGCCCATCAGTGCCGCCTATCAGTGCCCATCAGTGCCGCCTCATCAACGCAAATCAGTGAAGGAGAAAAAATACCTGTTTGAAAAATTTTATAAAAGAAACAAATAAACTTTTTTTTTTTTTTTTTTCAAATTTTTTGAAAATTTATAGCGCAAAAAGTAAAGCGCTCAGTGGCGATTAAATACCACCAAAAGAAAGCTCTATTTGTGAGAAAAAAATGATCAAAATTTCATATGGGTACAATGTTGCATGACCGCGCAATTGTCAATCAAAGTGCGGCAGCGCTGAAAGCTGAAAATTGGCCTGGTAAGGAAGGGGGTAGAAGTGCCGGGTAGGCAAGTGGTTAACGCAGTGCCGTAACGCAAAAAATGGCCTGGACAGGAAGGGGGGCGGTAAATCCTGTGGAAGGCAAGGGGGTTAAAGAGATCTATGAACATTATCTTCCTTTTTCTGCACAATTGTTCAGGGAAAAAAAAATACAAAATAAATAAATAAACCTCCCGCGGCTATATTAGAGCTCCAGGAGATGAACCGAAACCCGATACGAGACGAAACAATGTAACCAAAATATTGATCCGGTTTTCGGCTTGTCCTCCGCCCCTCTCATTACCGCCCCCCCCTTCTTGTCATCATATCAGGTTGGCAACGATACAAAATCTGAAATCGAAGTTTATTTACCCAACAGAGCGTTTGTTTTCCCTCCACCAAAAATAACCGGCGGGGGACGCGAGAACGGGCGCCATTCCTTTTTGATGGTCCGTTCCGATTTCTGAGAAAATATTTGCTCTCTGACCCGCTCCGGCCCCTCAATAAAAGCGCCCCGCATCGAACGCGCGCTATTTATATATCCGTATTTATCTGGCGCTATTTATAGAGGAGCCATTGTGCCAACGATAAAAATAAAACGCCACGGGAGGACGATGTGCGAGGGAGGGGGCGGATCCTCTCCGGTTTCAGCGGACAAATCCTCGCAGATCGATGTCTTCGCCGTCTGTTCTCATTATCTGGATGGGTTCCTCGCAGCAGATTTTTGTGAAATTGTAACTTGGGGCGGATCCACGACCTGGGCTCAGAGGAAGACGGCTGAATGATGCTGAATATTTATTATTTATTTATTTCAGGTACTTATATAGCGCCATCAATCTACGCAGCGCTTTACATATATATTTTACATTCACATCAGTCCCCGCCCCCGAGGAGCTTTTATTGTTATTTTATTATTTATGTCTATTTTTATTTATTTTTATTTTTTCATTTATATTCCTTATTTTTATATTTTATTTATTTTATTTTTAATCTAATTTACTTATTTCTTTCATTTTTTATTTTATTGTTATTTTATTAATTATATTTAATATTATGTGTTATTTATAATTATTTTATGTTACTTATTTTTATATGTTTTTTATTCATTTTTATTTTTATCCAGTATTTATTATGCATTTTTTTTTTTTCTTGTTTTTGTATTATTTATGTTTATTACTATTTATTTTTTATAATTATTTGTATTACGTATTTATTTTTAAGTTTATTTATTTATTTATTTATTTTTTCAACTAATGCACTTATCTTTAAGCATTTTTTAAAAATTATTATTTATGTTTATTATTCTTTTTTTTATCATTAATTCTATGACTTATTTTTTTTTTTTTTTTTTTATTTATTATTTTTATTTTTTTTATTGTTATATTATTTATGTTTATTACCCTTTTTTTTTTTATAATTATTTCTATGACTTATTTTTGTTTGTTTGTTGTTTTTAAAATTTCAGATTTTTTTTATCATTATTATTACTACTAATAATAATAATAACAACAATATTATTATTATTATAGTTGTTATTATTATTATATTTAATTAAATATTATTATTATTCATACTAATAATAATAACAACGATAATATTTTTTATGATTATAGCTGTTGTTATTATTTATTATAATTAATTAAATATTATTATTATAGTTATTATTATTATATAATTATTAAATATTATTATTATTATTATTCAGAATAATAATAACAATATTATTATTATTATTATTATTATTTAATATTATTATTATAGTTGTTATTATTTTATTATAATTAATTAAATATTATTATTAATAATAATTATTTTGATCTTTATTCTTTAAGTAATATTTTCATTATTTATTAGGATTTTTTACATTCTGACTGGAGTTCTGCTTTAACATTATTTAAAATTAACTTTTGAGCTGAAAAAATATCACTTATTTGTATTATTATTATAATTATTACAATTTAATTAAATATTATTCTAATTAATTACATGTTATTATTAATAATAAATAATTTGTACTTTATTCTTTAAGTATTAGTTTCATTTTTTATTAGGATTTTTTACATTCTGACTGGAGTTCTGCTTTAACATTATTAAAATTAACTTTTGAGCTGAAAAAATATCACTTATTTGTATTATTATTATAATTATTACAATTAATTCAATATTATTCTAATTAATTACATGTTATTATTAATAATAATAATTTTGTACTTTATTCTTTAAGTAATATTTTCATTATTTATTAGGATTTTTTACATTCTGACTGGAGTTCTGCTTTAACATTATTAAAAATTAACTTTTG